CGTATCTCTCCTCTGCGTTGTCTTCTGTTTAGCCGAATCCTGCGTGTTGGGGTATATTCTCGTTACATCACCACAACCATACAGGCAACCCTTAAATCCATAGTCTCTGTATAATGTCCAAGTGGCTAGGTTTGCCACAGTGTTTTCTTCACCAGGGAAAGAATTCTTCGGTCATCCACCACATTTGTTTTCCGTGGTCTTCCGGGTCTTTTGGTGTTGCTGAGCTCACCGGTGCGTTCTTTCTTTTTAAGGATGTTCCAAACAGTTGATTTGGCTTGCTTCACTGATAGTGACAGCTCTTTGGATCTCATATTGAGAGTTGACAGCAACAGATTCCAAATGCAAAGAGCACACTTGAAATGAACTCTGGACCTTTTATCTGCTCCTTGTAAATGGGATAATGAGGGAATAACACACACCTGGCCATGGAACAGCTGAGCAGCCAATTGTCCCAGTACTTTTGGTCCCTTGATAAGTGGGAGGCACATATACAAACTGTTGTAATTCCTACACTGTTCACCTGATTTGGATGTAAATACCCTCAAATTAAAGCTGAAAGTCTGCAGTTATATTTGTGTTCAGTGAATTCTCCAGAGTATAACAGTACCCCACATGTAGAGTTTTTGAAGGTAACAGGGTCAAATATAAGGCTTGATTTTACTTTTATTTTTTCATTGAAATTTGTCAGATTGGTTATGTTGCCTTTGGGACCGTATGGCAGCCCAGGAATGAGAATTACCCCCATGGTGGCATACAATTTGCAAAAGAAGACAACCCAAGGTATTGCAAATTGGGTATGTTTGGACTTTTTAGTAGCCACTTAGTCACAAACACTGGCCAAAGTTAGAGTTTTTTGCATTTTTAACACACAAATATAAATGCTAACTTTGGCCAGTGTTTGTGACTAGGTGGCTACTAAAAAAGACTGGACATACCCCATATTGAATGCCCTGGGTTGTCTACTTAAAAAAAAAAAAAAAAAAATAATATGTACATGTGAGGTGTGATTCGGGGATCTATGACAGATAGCAGTGTTAAATGATAAATTTAATATATATACAGGGAGTGCAGAATTATTAGGCAAATGAGTATTTTGACCACATCATCCTCTTTATGCATGTTGTCTTACTCCAAGCTGTATAGGCTCGAAAGCCTACTACCAATTAAGCATATTAGGTGATGTGCATCTCTGTAATGAGAAGGGGTGTGGTCTAATGACATCAACACCCTATATCAGGTGTGCATAATTATTAGGCAACTTCCTTTCCTTTGGCAAAATGGGTCAAAAGAAGGACTTGACAGGCTCAGAAAAGTCAAAAATAGTGAGATATCTTGCAGAGGGATGCAGCACTCTTAAAATTGCAAAGCTTCTGAAGCGTGATCATCGAACAATCAAGCGTTTCATTCAAAATAGTCAACAGGGTCGCAAGAAGCGTGTGGAAAAACCAAGGCGCAAAATAACTGCCCATGAACTGAGAAAAGTCAAGCGTGCAGCTGCCACGATGCCACTTGCCACCAGTTTGGCCATATTTCAGAGCTGCAACATCACTGGAGTGCCCAAAAGCACAAGGTGTGCAATACTCAGAGACATGGCCAAGGTAAGAAAGGCTGAAAGACGACCACCACTGAACAAGACACACAAGCTGAAACGTCAAGACTGGGCCAAGAAATATCTCAAGACTGATTTTTCTAAGGTTTTATGGACTGATGAAATGAGAGTGAGTCTTGATGGGCCCGTGGCTGGATTGGTAAAGGGCAGAGAGCTCCAGTCCGACTCAGACGCCAGCAAGGTGGAGGTGGAGTACTGGTTTGGGCTGGTATCATCAAAGATGAGCTTGTGGGGCCTTTTCGGGTTGAGGATGGAGTCAAGCTCAACTCCCAGTCCTACTGCCAGTTCCTGGAAGACACCTTCTTCAAGCAGTGGTACAGGAAGAAGTCTGCATCCTTCAAGAAAAACATGATTTTCATGCAGGACAATGCTCCATCACACGCGTCCAAGTACTCCACAGCGTGGCTGGCAAGAAAGGGTATAAAAGAAGAAAATCTAATGACATGGCCTCCTTGTTCACCTGATCTGAACCCCATTGAGAACCTGTGGTCCATCATCAAATGTGAGATTTACAAGGAGGGAAAACAGTACACCTCTCTGAACAGTGTCTGGGAGGCTGTGGTTGCTGCTGCACGCAATGTTGATGGTGAACAGATCAAAACACTGACAGAATCCATGGATGGCAGGCTTTTGAGTGTCCTTGCAAAGAAAGGTGGCTATATTGGTCACTGATTTGTTTTTGTTTTGTTTTTGAATGTCAGAAATGTATATTTGTGAATGTTGAGATGTTATATTGGTTTCACTGGTAATAATAAATAATTGAAATGGGTATATATTTGTTTTTTGTTAAGTTGCCTAATAATTATGCACAGTAATAGTCACCTGCACACACAGATATCCCCCTAACATAGCTAAAACTAAAAACAAACTAAAAACTACTTCCAAAAATATTCAGCTTTGATATTAATGAGTTTTTTGGGTTCATTGAGAACATGGTTGTTGTTCAATAATAAAATTAATCCTCAAAAATACAACTTGCCTAATAATTCTGCACTCCCTGTATATTGAAACAGCAATTTCCTACTTGTACTTATAGCCCTATAACTTGAAAAAAAAAATGCTAAATAGATTAAAAATTTTGTCTTGAGTTTAAAAACACCCATTGTTTACCTGCTTTTTTTTGCATTAGCTTTTGTAGATAAGTAAAAGATTTTTCAAGTAAAAGTCCAAAAACATTTTTCTTTTTCAATTTTTGAACCATATTTTATTTTTAAAGGGACACTCCAGGCACCCAGACCACTTCTGCCCATTGGAGTGGTCTGGGTGCCAACTCCCACTACTCTTAACCCTGCAACTGTTATTATTGCAGTTTTTTATAAACTGCAATAATTACCTTGCAGGGCTAACTCCACCTCTAGTGGTGGTCTACTAGACAGCCACTAGAGGGCACTTCCTGGTTTCTAGCACAGGAAGCCTGTGCTAGAGCATCGCTGGACGTCCTCACGCTGTGTGAGGACTTCCAGCGTCGCTCATTTCCCCATAGGAAAGCATTGAAATGCATTTTCAATGCTTTCCTATGGGAGCACTAATGCGCATATGTGGCATTGACGCGCATGCGCATTAGGTTTCCCCGGCCGGTGGGCGGGACCAGTCTTGCCCACCGGATGACTCAATCACAGGGAGGAGGAGCAGCGGCGGAGGAAGAAGCAGCGACGTGGGACATGTCACTACCTCTGGTAAGTTACTGAAGGGTAAGTCAGCAACCGGGGATTGGGAGGTGGGATGGAGAGGGGACCTGCAGTGCCAGGAAAACGGATTGTTTTCCTGGCACTGGAGTTTCCTTTTAAAGTAAAATATGACATGATACAAATAATGGTATGTAAAGAAAGCCCTTCTTGTCCTGAAAAAAACAAAATATAACTTGTATGGGAACCGTAAATGAGAGAGCGGAAAATTACAGCTAAACACAAACATCACAAAAGTGTTAAAACCTCTCTGGTCCTTAACGTACAACATGGCCAAAACAGGCCGGTCCTTAAGAGGTTAAAGGTCAATAAGCCCAAATAGTGTTTTTTTAAAGCAAGCAGGCCTCTCCAAGACCAAGTGGCGAAGGGCACTTCGTCACAGGTGTACTTTTTGTTTTTTTTTAAATGTGTTTTTTATGCATGGGGATAATTACGTTAATACATTTTCTTTTTTTTTTTTTTTTTTTTTTTTTTTTTTTTTTTTTTTGACATTCTTTATTTGTATGTAGTAAGGTTACAAGACAGGTCAAATCATATCAAAAGACACGGTATAACAGGTTTTGTAAGGCCCCTAAACCTTATGGCCAACAATATTTGTAGGGTTTTATTCCTAGGTTTCCCCCTCTCTCCCTCCCCGCCGTATTAGCTCCCTTCCCCCCACCAACCCCCCCCATCCCCACCAGTCTTGATCCGGCCTCATTTCTCCGTTTCTTAGGCCTAGTGATCTTAGTAGACTTATGTTGGACCTGCCTTTTAGAGGGGAACACCATTCCCCGACCAACCCCGAGCCTATTTGCCTTATAGAGTGGGGTCCGCCGGGACCGCTGTGGTTTGCCTTTCGTCCGGCGTTTAGCAAGTGTTCCACCATGTGCGTGGGCATACATTGTAGTTGGCGAGGTGCAGGACCTTGTTTGGCTTGGTGGGAGTAAAGCTCCTCTGGCTCGCGCAGGGGGTGGTGGTCCCCTTGGGTCCAGATGCGGTCCCCGCGAGCCCCCCCTCGGTGGAATTCTGTGTCGTTCGGGTGTAATGCCCGAGGTCCGGCACCCCCCCCCTTCCGATGAGTTGTTAATTTAACCGTGGCCGGGCTGTCTCCGGCCTGCCTGCTATCTGTGGCTGTCATGTGTTAACTTCAGTCAAGGTCCCCTTTCCTCCCCTGTCGGTCACCTTTGCTTCGTCATTGAGGCAAGTGGAGAGAGAGAGAGAAAGAGTTAGAGAGAGTGAGAGAAAAAGAGGAAGAAGAGAGGAGGGAGAGAAAAAAAAAAAAAAGGAAGAAGGAGGGGGGGGAAGGGAGGGGGTCCCGCGCGGCCGCAATCCAGCCTCCTCCTACGCTACTCCGCCTCCTCATCTGGCCTCAGACGGTCCGCCCTCGGCCGCCCCCACCTCCGGTCCGAGCTGTAGGAGATCCACGGTGTCCACAGGCGAGTGCAGCGGTCTTGCGTGCCCCTGAGTTCTGCCGTAAGAATTTCCATGTTATAAAGTTCATCGACTTTTTCTATCCACTGAGTAATGTTTGGGACAACTGGCGATTTCCATCTGGCGGGGATGAGGCTTTTGGCTGCGTTGAGAAAGTGTCTGATAAGGGTTTTCTTGTAACGCCCCAGAGGTATCTGAGTGTGGTTTAAGAGCATAGGGAGGGGCTCCATGGGGATGTCCTCCCCCAGGATGTCCACCACTTTGTCATGGATCTGTTGCCAGAAGGGGGCTATCCGAGGGCAAGACCACCACAGGTGTAATGCCGTCCCTTCGGCGATGTCACATCTCCAACACTTGTTGTCGGGGGTGACCCCCATGGCATGGAGTCGTGCGGGGGTCTGGTACCAGTGCGTCAATAGTTTATAATTAAGTTCCTGCATTTTAGAACTAAGTATCCCCTGGTGGGACAGGACGTGTATTTGCTCCCATTGTGGTTCCGTTAAGGTGACACCTGTGGCTTGTTCCCACTTTGAGTGGAAGTGTGCCGGGGGACCCGCATCAGCACCCAGGAGCATGGCATATAGGGTCGATATCCCGCGTGTCGGGTGCGATCCCCCTTCACATAGCGTTTCAAAGTGTGTGAGGTCTCGGTGGATCAGGTGTTTCCCCTGAAGTGTGGCATAGTACCGGCGTATCTGGTGGTACCTAAATCGTAAGATCCCTGTCTCCCTACTCTGGCCCAGCATGTCTTCCAGCGGCCTTAGGGCTTTATTAGCACACCATGCCCGAAGGTATTGTTTCGTCCCCTCCCCCAGTCCCTCCATATCCCCCTGTGTCAGGCCTCCTGCCAGGTCTGGGTTGTGTATCACAGGTGTCAGGGGGGCCGGGTTCGTGGTGAGCTGCAGCTTGAATCGGATGGTTGTCCATGTTCTCAGTGTCGCGCCTATGAATGGGTGGTTCCGCAGGAAACCATCGCATGTCGGGTTTTGTATCCATACCATCGATGGAATACGCCCCCTGGCCTGAAGCCGCTCCATATGGACCCATTGTTTGTCCGAGTCCAGGACATGCCATTCTATAATTCGTAAGAGGTGTGTCGCCTGGTAGTAACCGAGTAGGGACGGTAGGGCTGTTCCACCCCGATGTCTCGGGAGTATCAGTTGTGTCTTTCTTACCCTCGGCGGTCCCTTCGCCCAGACGAATCGCAGTATAGCCGAGCCCAAGGTGTTGAAGTATGTTCGCGGGATCGTGATCGGAATGGCCTGGAAAAGATACAGCAAGCGTGGCAACAGATTCATCTTTATTGTGTTGATCCTACCAAACCACGACACGCATAGGCGTCCCCATCTGAGCAAGTCCGCACGGAGCGTTTGGAGAATAGGGAGAAAGTTTTCTTGATAGAGTTTCGTCAGGTCTCTAGTTAACCAGATCCCGAGATATTTTATGCGCTGGTGGCACCATTTAAAGGGGAACTCTCCTGTCAGCCGTTCGACCAACTCGGGGGGTATAGAGATGGGGAGGGCCTCTGACTTGTCCGCGTTCAATTTGAAGTTAGAGATCCGTCCGAACCGCTCAAAGGCCGCCAACAGGTTGGGCAAGGTGATCAAGGGGTTGCTCACGAAGAAAAGGAGGTCGTCCGCGTAGGCCGCCACCTTGTGCGTGCCGTCCCCCAGGGTGACCCCCGCAATGCCCCCATCCCGTCTGACCGCCTCAAGAAATGGCTCCAGAGAGAGGGCAAACAGGAGGGGGGAAAGCGGACATCCCTGGCGCGTCCCGTTACGTATCCGAATCGGTGTGGACAGGACCCCATTAATGCGTAGTTGAGCAGTCGGTTCCGCATATAGCGCGGAGATCCACTGCAGTATATTCGGTCCGAACCCCATTGCCTTGAGCGTTTCAAGGAGGTATCGCCAGTCCACCCGGTCGAAGGCCTTCTCCGCGTCAGTGGAGAGGAGCAGGCCCCCGACCGGCGAGCTCCGTTGCATGTGCATGATGTTTAGCGCTCTGATTGTATTATCTTTGGCTTCTCGACCGGGTATGAATCCGGTCTGGTCCGGGTGGATCAAGGATGGGACTATGCGGCCCACGCGCGCCGCCAGGACCTTCGTAAACAGCTTGAGGTCTGCGTTTAGTAGAGAAATGGGTCTGTAGCTCGCACAGGCCGCTGGGTCTCTACCCTCTTTCGGGATAACCGCGATCGTTGCCAGTAGGGTGTCCCCCGGTAGGCGTGCCCCCTCAAGGAGAGAGTTCATGCCCGCCAGCAATTCTGGTAGGAGGACATCCCTGAAGGCCTTGAGGTATCTGGCGGGGAGGCCGTCCGGTCCCGGGGCTTTGTTAAGTTGTGTGTTCTTCAGGGCTGCCGTCAGTTCCTCGATCGTAATGGGGGCATCAAGGTCTTCCCTTTGTTCTTGCGTGAGAGTCCGGTGTACGTGGTTTTCCAGGTACTCCCTCGTCAGTCTCGCCGTCCTTTCCCGGCCCGCGCTTGTCTCATCTTTCTGGATATCGTATAGGCCGGTGTAGAAGTTCCGGAATTCCTCGACTATTTTGTCCGGTACCTGCGTGAGGGCGCCGCTCTTTGTCCGCAGCTTAGTGATCTGGTTCACGCGGCGTTGTTGTCTCAGCATTCTGGCTAGCATACGACCGCATTTGTTGGAGTGTTCATAGTAATAGCGATGGGCTTTTTTCATCGTATAGGCGAGGTTTTTCGTGAGCAGATGTTGTAGGTCTCAGCGGGCCTCTCGGAGCGCATGGTACGCCTCTTCTGTCGGTGCGGCTTTGTGGTCTTGTTCTAAGCTGGCGACTTTCGTATATAGCTCTTGTAGCTGCCTACTGTGTTCTTTCTTCCGCGTTGTACATACCTTGATGAAATGTCCCCGAATGACGCACTTATGGGCCTCCCACCGAATCATTGGGGAGGTGTCAGACGGATCATTCTCATTGAAGTAATGACGGAGCGCTGTCGTAGCGTCCGCTATGGTGACCGGGTCGCTAAGTAGTTCATTCAGTTTCCATTGGCGTCTTGTGGGTTTATGCAGAGGCGAGGTCAGCTGGGCCAGTACCGGTGAGTGGTCCGACCAAGCGTCCAGTAGGATTTCACATTTTTGTAATAGATTCAGGTATTCTTGTGCAATAAAGACATAGTCTAAGCGGCTGTAGCCGCGGTGCACCGGGGAGAAGTATGTGAAATCCTTGGCCTCTGGGTGCATGACTCTCCAGCAATCCGCAAGGCCCGCCGTTCTGAGTGCCAATTGTGCCGCTTTGATGCTTGCGTCCGGCAGCGAGCAGCGTCCCCGGGAGGTGTCCGTCCGTGGATCCAATGGTATGTTGAGGTCCCCGGTTAGAATTAGGAGCCCCTCCCTGAAGTGTTCCAGCGATTTTAGGGTTCTGGTGAGAAAACTGTGTTGTCGGGTGTTGGGCGCGTATATGGAGGCAAAGGTGTAGCGCCTGTCTGCAACGGAGCCCTTGAGGAAGATGTAGCGTCCCAGTGGGTCGGCCTTGACCTCCGCACACACAAAGGGGACATGCGCGGCGAAGAGAATGGCCACTCCTGCCTTCTTGGCTTCCCTATGGTTAGCAAAATATCCAGTGGGGAACCGTCGGTCTCGGAGGGCCGGTCGTCTGTCCGCGGAAGTGTGTCTCCTGGATGAAGGCCACAGAGATTCTATTGGACCAAAGTGCCCGTAGTAAATGTGATCTCCGTTCTGGCAGGTTCAGGCCCCGGACGTTGTTGGACCAGATGCGCAGAGGCGCCGGGGCGAACCCCTCTCAGCCCCGGGAGGTCATGAGAGCTGGTGCCGCCGCGCAGGGGTGGGCGGCGAGGTGTCAGGGGCAGGAGAAAAGAGAAAAAGAAGGAGGGAGAGAGAGAAAAAAAAAAAGGGGAAAAAGACGTGGTCGTAGATAGAGGGTCGTCAGTAGACCTGTTATAGAATAACAGAGTTAAACAAGGTGAGAACTATGTACAGTGTCAGACTCAGCTGTCTAGGTCGGTGAGTCAGTAAGGGGTGGACTGTCCCACGTAAATATGTCCCCCCTTGTCGCTCCCCCCTAGTGTGTTATACAGTGTGTCTGTGGGTACGTGAGCGTCCGTAGGCGCAGGACTGTGAAGGTGGGTCTAAGAGTCGTCACTGTCAGCTCCCCCTTAGCCCGTGCTGTCCCGCAGTAGTCCTCCTCTTTCCGGAGGCTATACCTCGGTGCCTGGTCATGCCCCTGTCCCATCCCCCAGGTGGACCCCCCCCCCCAGGGTGGCAGTGCAAGTGATCTCCGCGTATCGCGGCTGCCGTTTCCAGCGTACCCTGGCCGCCCAGCTACTCAAGCAGACCCTATGCCCCTCTCGCCTCTGGCAGGTTTTACTCGTTGGGCATCCCGCCAACCCCCCCCCCATCCCTGTGACCCCAGGCCACCGCTCCGGTGCGGGCTAAAGGCCCTTCTCCCCCTGTCTCTTTGCTTTCCTTCCCCGTCTCGCCCCTGGCTCAGGGTGTGTGCTCTATGGGCCGGTGTTGAGTGGGCTCGGTAGTGCAGGGGCCATTCCTCCTCACCTCCCCGTGGAGGACATTTACTCGTCTCCCTCATGTCTCGCATGGGTGCAGTGGGGAGCTGAGGGGCTTCCCGCCTCCCCTCCAACCCAGCATGGGGGGGCAGGTTGCTAAGTGTCCCGAGAGAAATGCAGGTCCGCTCCGTGCTCTCCCCTCCCCCCACCTCGTAGCCATCAGTCCCCCAGGACCTTGCCCATGTCCTCCCCCACTTCCAGGGTGCAGTCCCCGATTCCCTCCCCCAATGCCCTCCCAAAGCCCAGTGAGCCCCCTACGACTCCTTGAGCCTAAACTTTACCAGTGTAGCAAGTCCAGGGGCAATATGGCGGGCCAGTCCCAACTCCAGAAGCGGCATTCCGGGCCCCGGCAGGGGAAGAAGCGACATCCCATGTCCATGAACTCCCTTTCAGGTCGGGGTGAGCCGCGACTTGTGAGGTGCCTACGCCTCCCACCCCACCTGGCTAACCTACTCCCTCTATGGGCAGGCGCAGACCCGTATCCCGGCTCCCCCCCAGTACCTTGCGGCCCGGCTGAAGCCAGGCCACGAGTGCTCCTCTCCTCACTCCTCCACGCCTCTCGGGCCTCCCAGCATCCTCTGGGCCCGCTCCCTTCTCCTCGTGGGCGACGGTGGGCGCCCGTCCTCCGCCACTTCGTGCAGCTGTGCAAGCGGGGTCTCCAGAAGCCAATTCCTGATGCGGATAGGTGGTAGGCGCAAGGCTCTTAAGGCTCGGGGCACATCTTCTGGCCAGCGCACTTGGATCCAGGCATTCCCCTGCCTAATCTGGAGGCTGAAGGGGAATCCCCACCGGTAGGCTATTCCCTTCTCCCGCAGGGTCGTCGTTAAGGGCCTGAGAGCCCGTCTGGCGTCCAGGGTGAGGCCGGACAGGTCTTGGTATAGGGCCACGCTTGCTCCCCGGAAGGGTATATCCGCCATTCCTCGGGCAGCCGTCATGAGGCGTTCCTTAAGGCTGTAGTCATGGAGGCAGCACAGGACGTCTCGTGGCCTGCCATCAGGCCTCTGTGGCCCCAGGGACCTATGTGCCCGGTCCAGCTTGATCACCGCCGGGCATTCCTCTCCAAGAATCTGCC